CGCGAACTGCACCCCAGCCTGGCGACAGGGTGAGACCCTGTCTCAAAAAAAAAAAAAAAAAAAAAAAAAAAAGTCCTTATATTTATTGTCGTAATGACTATAGAGTAGATAATCAAATTAGAATGCTTAAATTTATGTAAACTTTCCTCTAGTTCATCATTTGTGTTGTGTCTTTTGTAGTTCTCATAGAATAAAGTCCTTGGTCCTGCTATGTTAAAATTGGTATGCTGTTGTTATAACTTGATATTTGTAGTGCTGTAAGTCATTTGAAAACACCAGTGTCAGGAGGTATTCAGTGTTCCTATGCTAGGTTTTCTTTAACAAGTCAAAATGACATCTGGAAGGAGAGACAAAATGTAACCCCTATCTCCTACCCTCTTCTGTTCCTATCCAGTAATTTATAGAATTTAAACCTATTCCTATGTGTCTTCTTCCAAGCCTCATCTGTTCCCACAGGTAGACTATAGGAATTGTCTGTCATGTCCCAGGAACCAGACACTCATCAGCTGGTCATGCCAGTGTCTCTTCCTCACCCCAGAATCATCAGTCAGCAAGCAAGGCTCCTCGCTGGGGAGTGAGGTTCTCCTGTACCCTCTCATCCCCATCTGCCGCTGCACGTGGCTGCTGTGTGGCTCCCCGTGAGTGAGGTGCTGCTCCTTCTCCAGAGGTGTAATTCATTTTCCATGAGACAGACCTCAGTATTTCAGAAGAGTAAACCTTACTGTGGCCTTCACACATGTGAGAAGACTTCAGAGCAGAGACAAAATGTGATTTGAGCTCCGAAGATAATAAATGATGAGAACTCGCAGACAGGAGGGGCTGCAGTGTCATCGGGTGAGCGGTCAAGGAGCGTTGGTGCCTGCACCCTACATTCGGGAAACAGTGAGAAGAACACTCCGATTAAAGGAGGAAGCGCATCTAGGAAATGTGTAGGGGATTCGGCTGTAGTGCAAAGAGGACAGGAAACAGGTGGTGGAGGGAATTAAATGCCAGGACCTGAACTTTGAATTTCAGGACGGGTGCAGTGGGGATCCACTGGAGCTGGTTGATATGGCTGTTTGTGTGACTTGCACTCAGCGATAGTTTAAAACCGTTTCTGCTATGGTGATATGTGAGGTGTGTGTGTGTGCGGCTGGGGAGAGTCAATAAGTAAACATTGGCTATAAACATTAGTTAGGTTGTTAACATGAGGACCTAGAGTGAGATGATGATAATGATAATGGAAAAGCTGCCATATACACACAAAAAGCACATAATCCTTGGCAATATGTTGGCTGTAGAGGGAAGATAAGTGTAGGGGCTCAGGACAGTGTACTTATTGAGCATTTTTCGGTTGCAGGTGACCAAAATCTCAAATCAAGTAGGCTTGAACAATAAAGGGAATCAGAGTGTCTTGATTCAAGCCAGGCTGAATGTGGGTAATCAGATTATTTCATCAGCCGTCTGCCTCTTTCCTTCTTGCAATTTTGTTTTTGTCTACAACTGGCCTAATTCTTGGGCAGCTCTGTCTATGCCGTGCCTTCAGGCATACTGTTTAGCATCTTAGAAGTGTGACTGTTTTCCTTTATTTCTGTTCTTAGCAATGTTCAGTTCTACATATATTATGCCTTTATTTGTTTATTCTACTCAGTAGGATAAGCTTTACAGGAGCAGAGACCTTTTCTGTTGTTTGTGGTTATATCCCCAGAACGTAGGGGAACACCTGGCACAGTACAGATTTTCAACAACTATTTGTTGAATGAATGAATGGGTATTTCTCCCAAGAATTCAAGCCGAAAGTCCCAGGTTCTGCTCTCATTCATTCAGCGTGGGCTTCCTGACCATCCCAGAACCAGTCGTTTCCAGTGGGACAGGCATGGCGTTCAGTTGCCAGGCCTGAGTCGTGTCCCCCTGCTGGCCCCGGGTGGTAGAGTGAGCCCCCTTCATACCCCAAGGAGTGAGATGTAGGGAAGGCAGTGACTGAAGATAATCGAATGGAGATTAAGACCATGTAAAACAGAAGTTTTTATGTGGAAGAAAGTAGATTTTTACACTGACCATCACTGCTTATGTTCACACTTTATGTGAGTAAAGTGTGCTTTTCTGAAGCATTCCCTTTAGATAGCAATGTGTGGATCAATTCAGATCCATAACAAGATGGACTTTCAGTATCTGCTAAATAAAGGCTTTATTTAATCTCATTAAGACAATGTTAAGGTACATTAAGAACTGAAACGACAGGTGGTAAAATGGGAAGAATGGAATAGCGCTGTATCCAGATGAACATCCAGACGGGGCCTGCAGAAGGTATGGGCACCACCTTCCCTGTTTGTGATTCGATTCCTGAGGCGGTCCTCCGTACTGACTCAATGTGTGGAACCAGAGAGAAGCCTGCTGTGGAGTTAATGAATTTGACCTAATCGAGACAGTCTGAGAAAGGACAGGAATCTTTTTTTTTTTAAGAATGTATAAGTTTTCTATATCTCTGTGATAACACAGTAACCAACTGTTGAACTCTTTAATAGTAGGCTTTGTGTTTTTCTGATAATTTGAAGCTGGTTAAGGTGCTGTCCTCTCATATTAGCAGTTCTGCAGCCCCTTCCCCTCTCCTTCCATCCTTAGGTTCCACCGACACAGTGATTAGCTCCTTTCACAGTGAGGAGCAAGTGCAGCCACCGAGCACAGGCAGAGCCACAGCCTGGCAGAGTGGTTTAGCGTCATGAAACCCTTCTCAGAACAAATCGTGTATCTGTGCGGTTCAAAGTGGATGTTAATCTTATTTTCAGTGGAACTCTCCTGCGTTTCCCCTAAAATATCAAATATGCAATTCCATATAAACAGTGTGTTCATTTCCTATGGCCCTAGTGAAAAATGACCACTAACTGGCAGATTAAAACAACAGAATTTATTCTGTCATAGTGTGGAGACCAGAAGTTCTGCATCAGTATCCGTAGTCCAAAATCAAGATGGGCCACACTCCCTACGGAGGCTTTAGGGGGAATTCCATTCTTTGTTCCGGCTTCCTGTGGTTGCCCGCATGCCTCGCCTTGTGGGCGCCTCACTCCGGCCTTTGCCTCCGTCTCCACACCCTCTTCTCTTTTGTGTGGGGCTCTGTTCATCCTCACCTTTATCTCTCTTACAAGGACAGTTCTGATGGTATTTAAGATCCGCCAGATAATTCAAGATAATTTCAACTTAGGGTCTTTGATCACATCTGGAGAACCTTACCTTCTAAAGTAACCTTCACAGGGTCCCGGGATTGGGGCATAGACATATCTTTGGGAGCCATTGTCAGCCTGTCCTAACACACGGTAAGATTCATCTCTGATAAAGGCATTCAGCCACAAGTGCAATGTGGTTTGGTCTTTTAATAAAGTCCTTTAAGTAATACTACAATGAATTCAGAGCTCCATCTGAAGATGCCAGAAGGTGTCCTCATTTGAATGTAAGGCTCCTCCCCATAGGGTCAGTTGTCTCCCCTCCTTTCAGCTTTTCCCATTTTCTCTGCAGATATGGACAAAATATGAAATGATTATCTCAGAATTGCCATGAATTAGCAATAGATGAACTGTTACCAAGTCTGACATCTACACTAGCATTTAAAATTGACCACATTCACTAAGGCGTTTCCTATATTTTTATTTCCATGTGTTTATACCCAGGGAGACCCATTGGTGGTCTGATACGAGGCAGGCTGATCTTCATTCTCTTTGTTTTGTTTTTAAGCCTGGTACATTCCTTTTTTTTTAATTTTTTTGAGATGGAGTCTTGCTCTGTCGCCCAGGCTGGAGTGCAGTGGCACCATCTTGGTTCACTGCAAACTCTGCCTTCCAGGTTCACCCATTCTCCTACCTCAGCCTCCAGAGTAGCTGGGACTACAGGCACCTGCCACCACACCCGGCTAATTTTTTTTGTATTTTTAGTAGAGACGGGGTTTCACCATGTTAGCCAGGATGGTCTCGATCTCCTGACCTTGTGATCCACCCGCCTCGGCCTCCCAAAGTGCTGGGATTACAGGTGTGAGGCAATGCACCAGCCCTAAGCCATTCTTTAGTACAGCAAAATAACTAGGCAAGAAACATTCTTGATTCTCGGTTGAACTAACTGCTGGCCTGTGCCATATATAGATATTAACTATGTGCCCCAGTCATGTTAGGTGATAGCATGTCTAGTGCAAAAGAGCATTAACCCTTTCCTTGTTCTCACACATGCCATATTCCTAAAAATCTGAAAACAATGAAAAAAAAATCTAAAACAACTTTGTTTGCTTGCACTCTGATCCTTCCCTAAGTTCAGATAGCAAGATGGAGTGAAGAGTGAAAGCACGCCCCTTTGCCCTGGAGCAGATAGTGGCAGTGTGCTCCTCTTGACACTCCCGGGAAGCAGGCCACAGGTGTGTGGAGCTGTGTTCGCTGTGAAGTGGATTCAGCCTGATAACATGGAATGAATGCTGCTGTTGAAATCAAAGCCAGATGTAATCCTGCCCACACTCTGTGATAGCTGTCCTACCTCCAGAGAGTCCTTTCTTCTTCCTAGACTGTAGTTTCTCATTTACAAATTAAGAGTGTGGGGCTGGAATCATGTCTAGGTCCCTTCCAACTATCTCACTGCAGATTCCAGGATTCTCACTGCAGCTCCTTTGCGTGTGACCATGGTGCTTGATTGCTCTGCCATGTCATGTGGCTTTTTGTGAGCATCTTTACCACTTGATTAGGGAGGAATTTGTGGGATAGCATTTTAGAAAAGTGAACTTCATGGAGGTCGCCATGTTTATAGTCATTGTAATGGTGTGGATGAAATTTAAACTATCTTGTAAGTAAAGAAAACTTAGACAATGGCGACTAATCCAGGGACTGGAGAGGTTGTCACATCCTTGTTAACTATTGGCAGTGTTTCCTTTAAAACAGCAGCTTTTTGCATGTTAGCAAAGCGAGCGTACATTGCTCATTGCCATGAGAGGTGACAACATGAAGATGGTATGTCCTGCAGATACATTGATCCTTTTCTCTGTTTTCTCCTAGGGTTTTCCAGGAAACACAAATGCAGACAGTGTGGTGCACTACAGACTCCAACCTCCCTTTGAAGCCAGGTTCCTGCGCTTTCTCCCTTTAGCCTGGAACCCCAGGGGTAGGATTGGGATGCGGATTGAAGTGTACGGATGTGCATATAGTAAGTGGCCTCTATTCCCTGTGTGAAATCTCTCAAAGCCAAACTGTGAAAGCCAGTGTCAGCATGAAATGTTGAACTTGACTTTTTCTGTCTTTTTAAATAGCTGGGCAAGTGGAACTGGTTTTTATGGAAACCCTTTAGTGTCTCCCCATGACAAGATGGACTTCAGTTACTGTCTTTTATAGTCGAATTTAGAGGTGGACATGAACTGAAATTTATCTGTCTTTAGATTCCCAGAGTTTAGCAAAGTACTTGCAATATGGTAGGCATCTAATCAAACTAATACAATTCAAACTAAAAACAGATGATGCTATTTTTCTGAAGCTGAGATGACACCCTGTCTGGGAAAACAGGAGTGGTACTGGGGGCAGTGGGGTGATTTCTCACAATCTCTTAGTTCTCTGTGTTTTTCTCTACTAATGTCCTCTTCTGCACAGCATGCTGTTGCTTCACTTGATCTTCACTTGGTGGGAACCTGTGTTTAGTCAGCCTCTTTTCTCATCTACTCCTTGTTATAAAAGTGGAAAGGATGTTATAAAAGTGGAAACGATATGAATATAACACAAACAAAAAGCAGGCAGTGAAAGTATTTGGTGGTACTCAGTGACACAGTTGCCACTTGATGTTCTAGAACATAGTTGTATTCTTTACATTATCATAAAAATGCTTTAAAATTGTTGTCAAAATGGAATAAAATTTAAAAATATCCTTGTATAAAACTGGAGAACAAGTCAAAGAGTAGCCTGGATGGAAATGTCTTAAGTGGCTTCATTTTGGGTCAGGCTGGACGTTCATATCACACCATTTACACACAGTCACTCCCATTCTCTGCCTAGTCACAGCTTTAGCCCTGAAGAATATTAATTTTCTAAAGCATGATAACAACATCTGTCATTCATGCAGCATTTAACGTCTCGGATACTATTATTTCTGTTTTATTACTTAACCCATGTGCAACCCAGTTAATTTCCTAAGTCTGCCTCTCTTTTTTAGTGTTTACATTTCTACAGGGCTACATATAATGGTGTTGCTTTACCAACAGTATTTTATTATTATTATTATTGTTCATTTCTTTCCAACCCTGTGTTTTATGGGACCTATAACTGTGCTGTCTGTTTCAATGGCTAAGATGTCTGATATTTAGAATTTCTCTTGGATGCTATGAAATTACCTTCTCCCCTCATTACTCTGAAACAACTTCAGGTTTACTGACTTCAAAGTAGAACATGCTCTTTGATGGGATTTGCCATTAGCTTGATGTTCCTTCGTGAAGAGATACGACTCCAGTTCCTTGGGATGGAGGTTGGTACCAGGAAGATCAAAGCCCCATAACTGATTCCAGGAAGGGCCAGTGGGCGGTGCAGCTGCCATGCAATCTGCTGGCACCATTAACTTCTGTAAACATATGCTGTTGGCCATAAGGGATTACTAGTAAAAAAAAAACCCAAACATGCAGACAGATAATATATGACCACTGCTAACTAACTAAAAGTAATTTTTTAGAACAAGTGGACATCTACGTTGTCTTTTTTTTCCTTAGAAGAATAATTGTTCAAGTATGGTAATTTTATTTTTGTTGTTGACAATAATATAATCCTTTATGGCTTATGTTAATGATAGTTTCAGTATTTTCATTTGTATTTCCACTGCCCTGTTTTCTAGAATATTGCTTATAATGACTTATGATATCCCTGCCATGCAGCATCTCTTCCCATTTATTTATTTATTTATCAATGTATTTTTATTTTAAGGGGCAAGTTCTCGACCAGGCGCGGTGGCTCACACCTGTAATCCCAGCACTTTGGCAGGCTGAGGCGGGCGGGTCACGAGGTCAGGAGATTGAGACCATCCTGGCTAACACGGTAAAACCCCATCTCCACTAAAAATACAAAAAATTAGCTGAGCGTGGTGGCAGACGCCTGTAGTCCCAGCTACTCAGGAGGTTGAGGCAGGAGAATGGTGTGAACCCAGGAGGTGGAGCTTGCAGTGAGCCGAGATCACGCCACTGCACTGCAGCCTGGGTGACAGAGTGAGACTCCGTCTCCAAAGAAAAAGAGGCAAGTTCTCACTGTGTTGCCCAGGCTGGAGTGCAGTGGCTACAGGCACAGTCCCACTGCTGATCAGCATGGGAGTCTTCACCTGCTTCATTTGGGAGTTGGGCTAGTTCACTCCTCCTTAAGCAACCTGGTGGTCCCCCGCTTGGAGAGATCACTGTTTGCTGCTAAAATTTGTTCAGACACTTGATCGTCATAGTGCACCCCCGGGGCTCCATCAATCCTCCCACCTCAGCCTCCTGAGTACCTGGGACTGCCGAACCCTAGTTTTATTAGCTTTTCTACACTTTGTTTATAATGATAGATTCATTATTCCTTTAAACTCTATGTGTTTTCACAGACTCCTGTCTTAGTCTATGAATGTATCTCTATTTTCACTTCTAGCCTGGGGATAGGTTGTAGGTTCTCCCAGAGTTGCTGCTCAACTGCAGAATAAAGCCATGAGCACAGACGGCCTCGGGCCCTTCTTGACTGGTTTTCCATGCATCTTTGCATGCTACTCTTCTTGCCACTCCTTAAAGGCTAACATTATCCACAGATTGGTTCTAGGTCTTTTATCCTGCTCCCAAGCTCTCTCTGCGCCTTTTATCCACTTCCATGAGTTTTCAGTAGCATTTACACGCTGGCTGATAACTTCCAAATATGTATCCGCAACCTAGCTCTGAGGAGCTCCAAACTCTGGTACCAACCTCTCTTCACTGGCCCTGTGAACACTTAAAACTCAGTTGTCTATCTGCTTATTTTCCATTGTCTTCCATCTTATAAAACGATACCAACAACCACCAATTGACTGAAACATGATTCTATCTCCTAAATGTTTTGAATTTCTCACTCTCCTTCCAGCTTAGCCTAAATGAGCACCAGCCTCCTAAATCAGCTGTTTGTCTCTGGTCTTGACCTTTCCAGTTTTTAGTCCACACAATAATCAGGATGATTCCTAGGAAAAACATGCACATTCGATTGTTCAAACATGCTTAAAGCCACACCCAAGACACTAGGATTGTTTCCCACAGTACTTAGAAAAATAAATTCCCTATGCTCTACTGCCTGTCCAGGCCTTCGAGGGCATCTCTCAAGAACAAAAGGGAACTCCCAGATTCTTATGCCAGAACCCTATGAGTCCTTGACGCATCTATCTCCCTTGCCCTCCATGTCCAGTGAATCACGAAATTCTGTATTCTTCCCTCCACATTACACCTTGCCTGATTTCAGCTCTCTCCAGCTCTACTACCGACTTAATCTAAACTTGGTGTCCCACGGAATATGGAAATTGCCTTCCAAGTTTAGGTCATTCTGTGTCTGCTCATAGCTGACATACTACATTATATTCTCCACACTGCAACTCAAGTTACCTTTTAAAAATGCTGAACTAATACAATTATGTCCCTGTATAATACCATCAGTGGCTTTCCATTATTCCTAAAATAACATCCAGACTCCCAGCAAGGCCTGGAGGAGCTTGTCCCTGGATAACTCTCCAGTGCCACCTCTTGCTGCCATCACCTGCTACCTGTCCACTGTCAATTGTATCAAGCTTCTTACTGACTCAAAGCCTTTATGCCTATGGTCTCCCCTCCTTGAAATGCTCCTTCCCCATGTTCTCAACTGGCTATTTACTCCTCCTCCTTTGGATCTTAGTTTAAATGATGCTTCCTAGGCTGTCACTCTAAATTTGGTTCCTCATGATAACTTCCCAGGAAGCCTATAATATGACTTCATGTGGTATAACCACTTTTTATAATGTATCTGTATTTGTCTTATTTGAGGCCTAATTTCCTTTTTCCTCATTAGACTTCAGGCTACACCAGGGTAAGGTACATTCATTGCTGTAACATTAACAACTAATACAGAGCCAGGAACATACTAAGTGCACCATGGCTTTGCATTGAGTGAATGAATGAATGAATGAATGAAGCAATTCAGAAAAAAAAGTCTGATAGATGCTAAATCTGAATAATGAATCCAAATTTCAGATATTTATTTCTCTCTTATACTAGCCATCCAGGTAAGGCAGATTTCTTAGAGATTTTATTGTTATAAAGTGTAGTATTAAAAATTGTAATAACTCCAGTAAAAATAGCAAATATAAGATTTTACAGTTATGTTTCCATTCTTCCATCTGATATTTGATGCATCTTTATGTAGTAGAAAGGCAGTTATTAACACCCAGATATTCCAAGTGAGCAATCTGAGAAGACACCAACGTCCGGCAGTACAGGAGCTACAAATAATACCAGAGACAGGGAGAGGACTCCAGTCCTCTTACTATCAATTCCATGTTCTTGATGGGTAATAACTGCTCAGGCTTTATAAAGGATAATTATATTAATACTTGTTTTGATATATTGCTATACTGATTGATGGCAGCAACTTCTTTTCTCCTTTCAGAGAGATGGCATCAAGCCGCATTTTATTGTATATAAACATTTAGTTTTTGATTCTGTGCCTTCCCCCTTTTTATCGTGCCAGCTTTAATTATCCTCAATTTCAGAGTTCTTTAAATCACTCCACTTTCTTTGATATTAATGCAAAAACTAGAACAGTCCTCTTCCTGTTGTTTTCTCAAATGGTTAGTATCCTTTTCATCTCTTTAATTCCCAGTCCACTAGTGCAGATTTTAAGGGCTTACATTCCACTCCATCCTACTGTTTTAGTATTTTCACTAGGTAATACTCAAACATGGCTTTTGTCTGATTCACGTTTCTGTTAAATTGAGATTGGGCTTCTATTCCTTTGTAAGTCATGGCAATAATTCATGAAGTAAAAAGTATTGAAGGTTGACTTCATAAATAACCAAGAAGAGCTTGGTTTGCCACTTTTTTTGTCCCTCAATGGTGGAAAATTTGGTCAGGGAGGGCGTCCGGGAGTGGTGGATTATTTTTTTAAATTTTAATACTTGGACTATATCCCAGATAATTAAGAGAATTCTAAAATGTTCTTTTCATG